CTCTTTGTTTGACTTCCTTCTGCCATGCCCCCCCCAGCGCTCCTCACCATCCACATCCACGTCTCTACGCTCATCTGTTATCCAGACTCCAGTCAGCTCAGTTCTAACTTCCTCATGCTGAACTGGAATTGCCGAATCGAAACACAGCTCAAACGAAAAAAAAAAAGGGTAACTACTACTTGAATCGGGGATGAAAAGCCCAGAGGTTAGTTTTGTTTTTTTGTTTTTTTCGCGTTCTCTCCCTGTTTCTTAAAGGAACGTGTACTTTACTGCTTGAGCAATCCTGTGTATTGCTGCCACCGTTGTATCTAGCGATGGATCTGTCTTATCTTTTTATTCTATCAGGTCAACGCTGAACTGTAGTGGTTTTATTTGAGTCATGTTAGCTTGTAATATGTGGATTTACAGAATGGAGCATGTATTAAAAACCTGTTAGGCTTCTACTACCGATGCACTTCATTTGTCATCATGTTTAAAATAAGCTCACATGCCGTCGAGAGAACTAAATTAAAAGTGATTTACTGTTTTAAGTTTGTCTGATTTCATCTTTGAACGGCTTATGGGAAGCCACTTTGTGGTCAAAACAACAAAAAACAATTTTAAGCAAAAATTGAGCAAATTTAAAGGTAGTTTGAGTACCGAGTGAGGCAAAAAAAAAAAAAAAACACCTTCAACATCATTTAAACCCCTGAATGGAAAATGTAGGACTTTGGTCTCTGTTCAGGTGTTTTCAAGAAAACTGAACTGACAACAAATGATAAAACGGCCATGTTAAAATTTCAAAAGGAATCTGCTCGGTTACAGTTCGGCCACACTTTGTCCGATTGTGGCCTCACTTTGCTTCAAATCTGTTTTAATCTGAGTGATTTAAAAATTGAAAAAATAGAGAAAATGGCTTGAAATGGCAAACGAGCTGAATGCGCAAAAAGTTGAGGTAAAATAAGACGTTTATTTTCTAAGAGACCATGATGGAAACATTAAAGCTCCTTTCATTCTCCAAAACAGTCCAAATGTGAAACTTTCTGAAGGTCTTTGGAAGTGATCCAAAGCAATAATCCACTAACTTCTTCAAGGCTATGAAATATTCAGAGGAAAACAACCCTAACTCAAGGGATGAGCCAGTGTTGTGTCCAGCTCAGCAGAGTAGCAGTTTAAAGTGGATCTTTAGGCTCTTTGTTAACAGCTCGTCCATTTCTTTAGCTGATGGGTGAAAAAGGCCAAAGAAGTGTCTGACAGACAGAAAACAGGATTTCTGACAAGTCCCCAAAAAGCGCCTGGCTGAAAACTGGGAACATTTGAGGAAACTGGACAAGTGGAAGACAGAAGAAGAAAAATTGGGCCTAAAAATCTAAATAAGGGTGCGGTTTAACATGCTTAGCGACGGTTAGCTAACGAGCTAGCAACGGTTAGCTAGCGAGTTAGCGACGGTTAGCTAACGAGCTAACGACTGTTGTCGTCCACCGCCCCGTTGCCACAGCAACCCACGCCCGCGGCCCCTCCATGGCAACCGCGCCGCACCGGAAACGTGCTCAGCAGATCCGTGTCAGGGGGACCCGAGGCTGGGAGCCTTAGCAGCCCACGAGGAAACCAAACACAGGTAGTTTTTAAGCGTTCACTTCCTATTTTCTGCCTGATCACTTAGCCAGTTTAGCCACAAAATGGCGGACGTCTGATTTAGAAAATAATTTTTAAAATACACCTTTGGAGCACACACTGACATGCAGGGTGAGATTTACAGGCAGAAAATATTTTTTTTACATTAAAAAAAGTCCCTCCAAACCCTGTGTCCCTCCGAAAAGAGTAACAAAAAATATCTGCTGTGTTTCAACAATATGGGAAGAGTTCTTAAGCCCCTTTCAAACGATTTATTCTACATTTTTTGACAGCCTACAGACTCTGCAGGTTAGCATCTGACCCTCAGTTAGCATGTTAAAGTTCAAAGGTCACGGCCGTACAGAAGGAAAAAGACAGACCGTGTTCGGTTCGTTTTGGTTTTATTTGCCGTGATTCCCCTGTTCCCCCAGATGAAAGGTGACCTTTGAACTCTCACATCCAGGTGGATTTATGTTTTTCGACTTTCCTCAAACTCAGGGGGGGTCCGGGGCTTCTCCCATGATGCACCTCTCCTCCTTCGGCCGCTGTTTTCCATCTTCAAAAGGATTTGTGGCAACAAAAAAATAAGAAGACGCTTCTCAGGGGGGATTTATTTGCAATTTTTAATACCTTTTCTTTATTGGTTACACAGATCCTTGAATCGAGTAACAGAAAGCAGAGGATCCAACTCCAACAACCTTGACAATGTTCAAAAACAGGTAAAGAGATTTTTGTTCAGAAAACCTTTAATCGTTAATAGAATTAGTAGTATGACATATTTCAATAAATATTTAGATATATACAGATACAGCAGAAACGGTACATTCTTTTTTTCTCTTCAAATTGCTTCACGTTTTTTTGTACAAGCCAAAATATCTGCCATTGTATTTATATTCATGCAAAATATCGTTTCTCAGATTAATGAAAAATAAAGAGGATTTGCTAAACTTTTTTTCTTTTCATTTTTTTTCCCATCCTGCTTCGATGTGCGCTCTCGGGTCTATAAGCGTCGTAATGAGCACTGGAAATTTTTGCAAATCAAACAGGTGCACTTTGTGCCAATACACAATAGAAGCAAGTAAAGCTAAATTAAGGCCATTCCAACTTGTGCAAAGAAAATCCATAAATCAATAATAATTCTAATATTTCCTTTAGCTCACAGCGGTTCGGGGGTCACTGTCGTTCTTCTACTCCCTCGGGGCGTCGGATTTTTATAATACATACAATAAAATACAAGTGATTCAAACAAAACCCCCTTAAAAACAAGTCTAGAATAATTCATTATCGACAAATGAAACCATGCTTCTTTAAAATCCAGTTCAGAACCTTTAGGATTTTATAAACTTCCAAAAGCTCCTCCCTCCCGTTGCTTGTTCAGTCCGTCTGCATCGTGATACTTTAGAAACCCATTATGTCCCCCTATATGAAGCCCCCCCCCCCCCACCCCCCTCCCCAGAACCCACCAGTGTTAAATACAGTGAGGTGAGGCCCGTGGCCGACTCTGAGGTGAGCGCGAGGGCCCCCCCGGGAAGAAGAGTCACGAGGCCGAACGAATGCATGATATGCTTCACTTTTTTTTTTTTTCTAGTTGCTTTTCCAACCGTTTTGGCACAGAAATATGATGCACGTGTGCTGCCGAACTGCTGGCTGCTGGGCGGGGGGGGGGGGGCCCCCCGGCCCCAGGTTTTTGGGCCGGGGGGGGAGACCGGGTCCTCACCCCCCCTCCGCCCCGGTCCAGATCAGGGATCCAGGGATCAGGGATCAAACCCGGAGCGCCTCGGCTCATTTTGGCCACTTTATTTTTTTTTCCCTTCACCAAACGCGAGCTAAACCGGTTTGTTAGTCAGGAGCCTTTTTTGTCGAGGCGTCAACAACGACAGAGACCATCTACCCCAAACTACTCTTTTTTTTTTTTTTAAACCAAAAATAAATAAATAAATAAATATGGTTTCTTTTTTTACTTTAAAAGTCCTAAAATATACGTCTCTTAGACTTCTTTTATCTGCAGCGGAGCCTCCGTTAAAACCGTTCTGATTTGGGACTCTGCGTCCACAGGGTTATATTGCACCAATTTCAAATATTTAACACACTTCTAAAGAGTTAAGCACACACAAAAAGATGACGTGTAAGACAGAACTACATGGGCAAACGAGAGCTGCTTTTCAGGGAAGCCCAGAGCTTTTTGATCCAGTAAAGAATTTGAGTTTGTCGCACGTTATGCTACATTTCTGCCGTCATCTGAGAGCTGATTCCTGGCTCTAAATCGACCCTGAAAATCTGCCGATAACACGTCAGCTTCCAGTAGCTCTACACAGCATGTTATTGATTTTTTTCCCCCTCTTTGCCTTCTAGCGAGATGATGATGATGATGTGTCTTTTCCCCTTTCCTCCTCTTTTCTTTTCTTTAAACCCGCTTAAAAGCATCAGCTCCAGTCGTCTGAGAGCTCGCTTTCCATCTCCCGGAAGCTACTTTGTGCTAACCGACGTCACGGAGGTCTGTAGTTTGGCAACAGGTGGAGCTAAAGCTGTCCAATCAGCCGCAGCTACTTCTCAAAGTCAAGGACTTTGTTTCAAGGTCACCTTCTCCTCAAATCCTAGCGTAGCGACGTCTTTCCAGGCTTTTCCGGGCCATTCAGTGGGTTTCATTAAAGGACATTAAAGGAGTGGTTTTTGGCCGCAATGTTTGAAGGAACCCTGCCAGACTCTTTTTTTAATTTAAATTTTTTTAAAATGACCTTCCTGGAAGGAGCGCTGACCTTGAGAAGCTATAGATTCTCCTCAGCTAGCTATAGCGCAGCCTCGGTCTGGGTCTGTGGTTGGTTTTTGGTAGAGGGTGGTGAAAGGGGGAGCGCTTTGCTTCTCTCGCTGAAGCCGAAGCTCTGCGCGAACCCGGACGGCCTCCCGGGAGCTTCCGGAACCATTTTAAGACCCGGAAAAGCGTCGCCCGCCGTGACCGATGCACGTTTTATGGCACTTCAGATTCAAAGTTAGATCGGTTCAGATCAGCCTGTTTTTTTTTTTGCCAAACACACACAAACAAATCTCATTTAAACAAGGATAAAAACCACCACTTC